ACTCGTAACACGAATGAATCGAAACCTAATCATTGGTACCTACATTACAATTTCCAATGAACTTTTAGAACTCTTTAATTCTACAAGACAAAAAAGTTTGTGGTCAAAATAAATACATCTTATACTGGTCTGGAACTTTACAATAGTACAATTCTCAGTTAACCTTGGACTTTCTGTACTTATAAGGCGTGGCATTCTCGGCGCTACGCAATAAGCGTCTGTCAAATGGCGAATAGATTCTCATTGGTTAAGAAATTAATATTTCCATTTCTAATTTTTTTCTCTGTGATAACTCTTTGAAAGTTGTCGGAGTTTATTTCTTGATAATTCTGCCGGAATGTAATTTAGGCAGGTCGATAGGTCAGGAGCTAAGGAGGCCTAATACGCATGCAAATCTTGTGCGCATCTGTCTCTGTGTCTGACGCTAAGGAGGCCAAATATGCATGTAAATCTCGTGCGGCTGCCTATGTGTTTGACGTCAGTGGGCGAGGACTATTGAAATTGGCATGGAAGTCCTCGTGTGATTATAGTCTATGTCTACATTTTTAAAATCTACAATTTTATTTCACAATGAAATGGAAATATAAGGAATCACTGTCTGGTTTTGAGAGTATGCCAGGGACATCAACAATAGTGGGAAACATGGGATAATTTTAGCATAACGGGCTTCTTAAAACGAGACAGTGATTCCTTAAATAACACCACGAACTTTGAATTGTTGTTGAAAACGATGAGACGACTTAAACCCCACTCTTTGCCGTACGAGACGTTGTATCTATACTCGTTGACATTCCCCAAATTTCTATCCCATGTATTTTTCAACAGTGAATGAAAGCTGTGTAAATTTCAGATGCTAATTGTGTAACGTCGAGAATGCCACGCCTTAATAAAAGACTAAGATTAACTGAGAATTGTACTCTCTTATCAGCATGTAGAACTCTAGAATACTTTTAAGTAAGGCAATAAAATTTTGTGGTTGATATACATTGTATATACAAACTGGCCACTATGACCTAATCAGTTTTGTACCAAATGAAAAAAGGAAAGATAACGAACATTGATCGATCAAAAAAATGTAAAGAGAATATTTCGTAGCCAAATTCAGTATAAAAACAATTAAGGCCTTATAATTTGTATGAGACAAGTCAGACAAAATACTCATAGTAACCAATGATAAGTTATACATATTTGCTAACAAAGTCATTATAACGACCACATTGCTGACTTTAAACGAGGTTTAAAACTTTATCTAACTCGGAGCATGCTATTGCATAGGGTCGGAAGCAAATTGAAGGGGGGGGGCTAATTGAAAGTGGGGGGGGGGGGCTAAACCAACAAAAAATGGTAAACCCCACTTTTCAAGGCCTATATTATTTATGCATATTTTCAAAAAAAGTGGGGGACCCCCCCCAGCCCCCCCCCCCGTTCCGACGCCTATAGATGTATTGAGTAGCGAATAAGTATAGCTGGGAGAAGTAAACACCACAAGCTGGTGATAACTTCATATGTTGTTTTAAAATTGACAATAGATCATCGATAATATATATTATCCAAATGGTGAGTGGAGTGGGGGTCGCCTGGGTCTGCGACTATGAGTGCACTATAATTTTGTTATTATATAGTCACTCAGTTAATAGCTGCCTCTATGCTTAATACTATACTGAAAGGACAAAGAAACGCATGGAAACATAACATGCAAAAAATATTTTGACTATGTGGCCGAAAATTATGAAAATTGGTCAGATGTGTATTTTGGTTACTTTGCACTAAAATTGCTGGTCAAAAACTACTCAACCATGGAATGTATGGTGTCACGTGGGTAAAGTGATAAAAAGCCAAAAAAAAAAAACACGCATATTGATGATGATAATTTTGTGATCACAATTTTTAGTGCCAAACAATGCATTGAGTCAAAGACATCGTAAAAAACTTAAAAGGTTTCTAACCAAGCATGACGGTGACGGGCCCTATGACATATCAATTTCAATAACTCATGAATTACTAGTATCAGCCAAAGTCACACAAGATTTTGGAAACTTGTTGATTGCAGAAGATTGAATTAAAATGTTTAATAACAAATCTGGAAAACATATTCGAAGAAATAGTTTTAATTTAATTCAAAAGTTTACTATGCGTTTCTTTTTCCTTTCAGTACATGTATATATTTGCGTGATTCTTTCCTCGGCAAAATAATTAAATGAAATAACTGGTAAAAACTTGGCATATTAGGGTGAGGGGATGCTCCCCCTCGGTCCCACGTGACCAAGTATTCACCCTGAATCAACTATTCAGCAGCCCCAAACCCACCAATCTCTTCCTTTCGGAGCAGCAAGAGTATACTATAGCAATATTCGTTGATAAGTAGGACTCATCAGGGTGTGTCTGAAAATACCATATATGCGTGTCAGCTATTCCCAGCTTATTTAATTGTTTAAAAGTACCATATATTCGATAATACTATAAACATATATTTTATTATACAATTAAGCTTGGGTTATGCCCATGCCTCTCATTTGGTCATCCTTGCAATGCCAGCGCGGGTCCGCAGTCAACACGTTGCCGTTTTGGTCAAACTGTCACGTGTTGACTCAGGACTCCTGGCGTTTAAAGGATGTATTGACTTTTCAAGCTAGGTTCAGGCCATATATTCCGGCTAGGTTCAGGCCATATTCCGACACAATTTTACAGCAATTTTCTACCTACTTCCCATTCGCCTCTTAATTTTTTGTTTCTTTAACGTCCATTTCGAGAAAATATCAGTCATGCTGAGTCGCAATCGTTACCGGTGGATTGAGGACTGCAAATTTAATCTAGATCTATACTTTGCGGATCCGGGAATTTTTTCCAGGGGGGGGGGGGTCCACCCCAGTCAAAAAAAAAATTCCAACCCCAGAAATTTCTTGACAAGTAAAAAAAAAAAAAAAAAAAAACTCATTTCCAAAACGTGACAAATATATTTCGTATTTTGCTGGGGGGGGGGGGGGGTGTCGTTGACTTTTCTTTTAAAGCTTCACAATTATGATTTCACATAGATTTGCATTTCTGCGACGGATTTGTGTATTCTATGGGTGGTCCAAGATCACTTTTACTTGGTTAGATCACTCTGCGATATTCCCTCTAGATCCGCGCATGCTTTGCGCTTAGGGTCACTGAGCAATTAGGGATCTTTTCCGTACCCACACCTACTGAGTCACGGGACTTAGGTTTATACGGACTCATCAGAAGCATGCTCCATACAGTGTCAATTCACCACTTTTTTCGAATTCTGTACGAATAATGATATGGAGTTGTAGCGTAACATATTACTTCAGTGGAGTACTTGCGTCCGAAAGCTGAAGAACTGTAGCTCTCCGAAAAAATTACATTGACAGACCGGAGAGCTACAATGCCACCCATTGAAAATAGTACATATATATATTTATTGCGCACCAGAAATCACGCTGTTTGTCGATTTATTTCTCCATTTTTTTTAATTTTCAGCTCAAAATATTACTAACCGTGTGTTCCTAACATATTTTTACACTGTTTCAAGAACAAAACCTCCCCCCCCCCAAAAAAAAAAGGAGAGGGCTACATGTTGCTATGACATTTCACACGAAAATACACTATAGAACTTATTTTATCCGGAAATTATTGAAACTACTAATTTCGGAAAGCTTTTGATTGACACATCCTTGCATGTGCACTTTCACAAAGTAAACAATAATTCACATTCTCGCCTGTAAATTTTCTGCTCAATATAGTTTGATAGCAAATATCTGTTAAAGCCGATTTGCCTAATATGGCGAATGCATATTTCACTTTCACTTAATTTATATTATATACTGAAAGGAAAAAGAAAACTTTTGAAGTAAATTAGAGCTATTACTTCGAAGGCATTTTACAACATTGTTAACTTATCAAACATTTAAAATCTTAAATAATAAACAAGTGACCAAATTCTTATGTATTTTTGACTGCTAATTCATGAGTTATTGAAATTCATATGGCGTCTCATGCGTTTTTATTTTCATTCAGTATATTTCAATTTTACTTTTTTCCCAACGTCTTTACTATTGAAAACGTCCATCAAAAGGCCTATTGCCCCTTTTTTGAACTTTTAAATACCTCCCTCCAAGAGGATTTTCGATTTTGGACAGTTTCCTCTAAGTTTTGTATTGAAACTGCAAAACACTCAATAAGTCAATATTTTTTGTCCAAATTAAATTTAGAATGGAATTCAGTTTGTAAATCATTGATACAGCAAACCATTGTTACAGTATTAGATATGCAAAGGGCCAAAGCTAGACTGGAACTCAGGCCCCCTGAATCTCCATTCAGGTACCCTTCTGAGCAGTATCTGGCCATCAGCAAATCAAAACCTCAAACTCGTCCAACTGCCAAAACTAATCCAGACTCTTCCTTGGCAATTCTTTCACCTGTCATATTCAAGTGCATGATCACAGCACATTATGTAACAGGAGGAGGAGAAAATGTGACCGACCACACCAGGATTTGAACCCCAAGCCTCCTGAATCCCCTGTCATTGAGGCGTTTTACCAACTGAACTAAATGGCGACCAGCAAGCAAATCCTATAATATAATAATAATAATAATCACATAATATTAACTTTATTTAACCTATTCTTCTTAAATGGCATGGCATACCTTAAAATATGAAAGTTTTTTGGAAACTCATGATTTTTTTGTTTCTTGCATTTTAGCCCTAGTCAATGAAATTGATTTCAGTGGAAAGGAAAATTTTCAAGAATGAAACAAAACATTAACATTATGGTTAGGACAGATGTTCACATCGTGTGGTTCAAGAAAGTATAAAATATTAAAAATTTGCATCGATCTTGATACTTTCCCTGCCTTGAATTATGTAAACTTGGCATGTGAATTTGTGTTACAACGTTTATGGGCTTATTTAATTTTGTACATCCACACAAACGCACTCATACAAAAACTATCAAGTTTAGTTTAAAAATCTTTAATAAGGTCAAATGAAAAAAAAAAGATAAAATTCCAGTCTTTTATAGCCTATTTGAAAAAAAATCATAAAGCTCAGAACATGTTACAACCTGGAATGAGTGAAATTTCTGAAAGTCAATATACGTAATTTTATATTTACATCACAAGGGAGATAACAAGAGTCAGCATATTAAATCTAATTTTAACATTATAAAAACTGTCTCTGAAAAAAAAACACCAAAGATTTGAATTTATAATCTCTATCAAAATCATTGAAATACTTATTATAAATAATCGATTTTCCTGAGATTCCTAGCATATATGTCTTACACTTGTATAGATAGTACAACAAAAGGAAAATATATAAAAACAAATGTCTTCATCAATCCTATTGGAACACCTAATGCTGAAAAGTTTGAGGACACTGTGAATGAGGTAAAGCATCTTTCACATCCAGCAGTGTTGATGTTCAATGGTGCAGAAACAAAGGTTCCTCTCTAGTTATTCCAGGTCACAGCATGACGAGTGGCAGTTTTGATGTGACCCTTCATGGGCGATTTTTTTTATTTCTCCACCACTTCTCATCAGCTGCAAAATGATTACACACATATTTAAGCTTTAATATATTTCACATTTTGTCTCCATGTCAAAATAATATTACTGTGGAGAGGGCTTATATAGGCTATGCCTGTTGCCATATCCATTTATATTTCAGTATATAATAAAATACGTTCAAATCAAATGAAAATAATCTAAGAGTAATAATGGCTGTATCTTACCACCACATGCAACGAATCCCCTACTTTCCTAGAGCCTTCCTGACACCTGTCTTGATCTTCTCCATCTTGGCATCAGTATCAACATATCCATCCCCATTCTGTTTAAATTCATTCAGTAATTATTACAAAATTCGCAAACACAGGAACAAAAAACTGTATATATATGTATTACTTTTTTAGTTATCTTTTTTAAAAAAGATTTTCATCCCAAAATTACCCCAAAACGATCACTTATAGTATATAAAACTGGAAAGGGGGGCTCTTTAACTTAATTCTTGGGAAAAGACTATAACAATACCTTTTTTGGGAAAGGAGAAGTTCCCCCCCTACAATCTGGACCTCCAGCCAACCTGTAGTGGTTGGAGTTCCCTCCCCCCGTCTGATGATAAAAAAAAAAGAAAAATATTATCTTATATTCAACGTTAGACATGAATTAATTGCAGAAAAATATTTTATATTTCCATGGCAATTTTATCAGAAAGATGCCCAAAAGGTCCATGGGCTCACATGAGTTACATAATTATAGCCCATCTTGTTCTTCATAAGCAATTTTTTTTCCAACACTCTTACGTAAAATTCAAATCACTCATTGTGGCCCCATTCTATCCCCAGGGGTCATGGTTTGAACAAACTTAAACCTACAACCTCAGGATGCTTCCATTTAAATTTATATAAATGACAAAAAAATTGGAGATGCGAGGCCTTATTACAGATAGGAAACCTGATGAAATGAAAGGTCAACTGAACAGGTACTTACTCTTTCCAAGTCATTGCCAAATTCTTTCTCAAGTTCCGCTTTAATTTTGCGAAACTGAAATGAAAATTGATCTTCTTTTTAATGACAGAAGATAAAGCAGTATAAAAAAATAAATGCTTTGAAAAAATTAGTGACCATCGATTTTAAAATTTTTATAATTGTTGCTGACTTGCTGCCTTCATTCATTGAGGATTTTTTGATAGTCAGCAACTAGCTATTGCAACAACACTACTGAAACATGTACATGGTGTAGCACTGCAGTATGTAAAATACCTGTCTACTTGTACAAATTCAAGAGTTTGAAAAATAAATTAATGAAAGTTAGTACCAAGACATGCACAATATTTGACTATGAGGGGGGATAA